ACTGAACACGAGCCGAACAAAATACTGGTAATTGACAATACTCACATCACGGATGGTGCAAGCATCTCCGGTACACTCCGCCCTTCTCATCACAGCTAGTCAGGCTCCCAGGAGGCCACATCTTATGCTGTTCTTTATCTGCATCAGATATCTCAGGTCAGCTTCCCCATCCATGCAGGAGGCACCACTCAGGATCACCGACAGCAGCTCCGCAGTTCTGCAACTGCCTCTTCAGTTTGGCTACTGACCCCCTCCCCCCACTTCGACCTCTCTGTCCTCCTCTATTCTGGCAAGGTCAGACTAGCTCTTGCAGGGCTGTACAGCTCCACTTTCCCCTTCTGCTCTTAGCTGGCCAAGCTTGCAAGGCCTTACGCCCAACTTGTGGCGTGTCTGTCGGTCATGCCATCACTTTTCAACACGGCACCCCATCAATTCCAGAATTTCAGGGAATGTTCTAGGCATCAATGGACAGATCCTTATTGATTCGGGAGGAAATCTGAAAATGGAAAGGGGGAAATGGGGTACACACAGCGCCCCAGCCTCTGTTTAACAGAGCCAGAGCTTCAAGCAGCTCTGCAATTGTCTATAGATCAAAGAGTGGTTGATGGCACCCTTTACTGCCTTCCAGCATAAAAATTACTCCCCTCCCTACCAATCTCAGCTCTGTCCAGCCTCCCAAGAATTATAATACATGGACACGCTGAGTGTCTGATCGCCTAAAGAGAAAGGAGACAAATAACAATGTTGGGTGGGGAAGGCGGACATGTGCCCTGCCCCTGGCATGCGGGAGGGAAGGAGAAATTGAGGGACCCTGGTATGGGGGGAGGGGTGCACACAGAGTCATTGGCATGGGGTGGAGGAGAATGGATGACTTATGGGAGGAAGGGGGAATAGGGGGCACAGACCCCCTGGCAAGAGGCGATTGGGGGACCCTGGCATGTGATGGGGGAAAGAGTGGAGGGCACACCCAGATTCTGCCATGGCAGGGGAAGGGAGAATAGGGAGACAGCCCCAGGCATGAGGGAGGGAGTGGTGGGAGTCACAAGGAGTCCCTACAGTAGAGGAGGGATGGGAGGTGGGACCCAGGGAGGGGGAATGGAGGGGTGCATGTGCCCCATGGTGGGTGCAATGAGATCAGCCAACACAAGCTGCGATGTGCATGACCCCCTAGTATTTCTAGTCTTCACGGTCACATCCTGCCTCCTTCCCATCAACCCCATCTGAAGGCTCAGCCTCCCCCTCCCCCAATGCTCTTATTCAGTTTGGTTTCTCGGCCTTGTCTAAAGCTTTGGCTGTAATTCCAGTGCCTACAACTGGTCCACGACTAGGACCAGTCTGCACTCAGAAATACGCAGCCCTACAATCATGTTGTACACATTCCACGTGGCACTTGTGGGCTCTTCCATAACCATGCTCCAGCCCAGCCTCTGCGTTTTCCTTCAAGGATGTTTCTTCCTGTTGGAACCCACCAGCATCAAGCCACGTGGCTTCCTCAAGAACTTCTGTCTGCAGTCTCATGTGGACCGCTACAAAAGGGGACAAACATTCAGAGTTAACGCCCATTTCAGCTAGTTACTAGCACTGCGCCAGCAGCACCTCGCTCACTCCTACAAACGCCTTGGCATTAGCCCCTTTGTTACCTACCCTCAGGGAACGTCCGACACTGCAGCGAGCCTCCCAGCCTGGGCAGCCAGACTGGTGCTAGTGTGCTAAAAGCAGCAGCGTGGATGCTGCGGCACTAGCGGAGGCTCGAAGCGAGGAATGTCAGCTCAGACCCACCCGACCCCATCGGTGCGAGCGTGGGTGCCCAGCCCAAAACTCCACCAGCGCTATAACGTCCACACTGCTATCTTTAGCCCTGCTAGCACGAATTCGTCTACCCAGGCTGGGAAGCTCACGCTCCCCGCTGCAGTGTAGACGTACCCTTTAGGGCTACCTATGCTGGAGAACTGAACTTTTCCAGGCTTAAGCATTGAAACGGCAGCTTTCTAAAAAGCAGTCTACTCTGGTTCAGTGAGAGCCCGCTCATCAGCTCGGATAGTATGAGCCCATTCTGGAGGTCTACATGCTGCACTTGCTCAGCTATTGAGGACCTTGGCCATTGGAGGAGTGTAATAATGATGAAGACAGAGGGATCTGAAGCGCCTGGCAAGCTGGGCCCATTCAAACAAATGTATTTTAATGCAGCCAAAAGCAAAGTTACACATCTAGGAACAAGGAACACAGGCCACGCCCACAGAAGGGGGGCGTATCCTAGAAAGCAGTGACTCTGCAAAGGATTTAGGGCACAGAGGGGACAAGGAATTCAACATGAGTGCCCAGTGCAATGCCACGGCACAAAGGGCTGATAAGACCCTTGGGCATACAAAGAGGGTGAGTAACCCTACGGAGGTCATTTTCTCTCTCTACACGGTATTGGTGAGACAAATACTGGAACCCGGCGCTCAGTTCTGGTGTCACATTTTAAAAAGGATGTTGAAAAACTGGAGAGGGTGCAGTAGAGAGTCACAAAAATTATTTAAGGGCTGGGGAAAATGCCTGACACTGAGACTCCAAGGCCTGGTCTACACCAGAAAATTAGGTTAACTACGTCACTCGGGTGTTAAAAAAAAAAAAATCCCACATCCTTGAGCAGTGTAGCTAAGCCAACATAAGACCCTCTGTAGACAGTGCTAGGTCAACGGAACAATTCTTCCGTCAGCTACTGCCTCTCGGGGAGGCGGATTACCGATCACAACAAGAGAATCCCTCCCGTTGGCATAGGTAGTTTTAGTGCAAGCTCAAGCTGTTTATCAAAAAAGTTTGAGCGGTGATTTGATTAAATACAGTAACTCCTCACTTAACGAAACAATGTTAACCGGGACGACTTTATTAGGTAGCTGATCTATTAGAGAACATACTCATTTAAAGTCGCGCAACGTTCTGTTATAAGGTTGTTGGGCGGGTGGGTGGAGCGGGGCAAGCCAGTCGCTCCTGCCGGGGCGCGGGGGCTTGCCCCATTCTGCCCACCTGCCGTTCCTACCAGGATTGAAGTAAGCAGGTCCAGTTGAGCAACTCTCTACCCCAGTCAACATCCTCAGCTGCCAACGACACAACTGCAGCTTCACCACTCCTGCACACGTGGGAGACATTAGTGGCTGGAAAGCCATGGCTGCTTAACCTAGTTTGAGGTTTCAGATTTACTGGGGTGTGACTTCGGTTACCTGGTGCTTCAGTGTATCCTATTACTGTTATCTTACATCTCTGTGGCATCTGGCACTTTGTAGATTCTTCTGCCAGCTGCAACACCAGCCCTGCACTGCAGGAAGGCAAGATTTTTTTTCTTCTGTTGGTCAGATGCAGTGGAAAGGCCCACTCCTAAGAGATGCTCAGCATCTGGGCCACATGCAAGTTTACGTGATTTCCACACGGACGATGTATACATACCTAAACACACAGGGCAGGAGAATCAGTCAACAAAAAGGCAAGTGTTACTAAAAACAGTTGGTTACAAGCTCTCCATCTACATAAACATTTCATAGCAAGCGTCATATTATTTTAAAATTAAAATATATTGAATAAATACATTCTGCTTATTGAGCAATAAAGAGTCCTGTGGCACCTTATAGACTAACAGATGTATTGGAGCATAAGCGTAAGTCTATAAGGTGCCACAGGACTCTGTTGCTTTTTACAGATCCAGACTAACACCGCTACCCCTCTGATACTTGACATTCTGCTTATTGTTCATAAGGGGCAACACTGGGGGAAGGGGAGACCATGCAAACACTACCTCTCGTATTATCGACTGCTGCAACTGGGCTGGGGGGTGCAGACAGGGCAGAAAGGTAGGATCTGAGTGGAACTGAAGAGCACCTCAGTACTGCTTAGGCACACTAATTGAAGGGGCCAGGTAGAGAGCTGGTCCTCAGCGCTGCCATTAGCTATTCTCCAGTCTGCCAGAACAGTCTGAATTGAAGTGATGTGGGCAGAGGCGTCTCCAAGATTAGCACTGAGCTGGTGCAGTAGCACCAGCCCTTAGAATATCTGTGCAATGCTCGGTGCCCCAAGTGCTGTAGTGTTCCACGTGCCTGGACCAGGATGGGGACCACCAATATTCTAATGCAGACAGGGCTTCCGAGGTTGACCAGGCCTCTTACCACACTGTCTCATTTCACCTTAGCTCATCCAGCATCTGAATTCACACCTCAAACCCCAGATTAAGGAATGATGCACTGAAACTCACAATAACTGGTTAATGTACTTATTACAAACTCACTATTCTCTTAATAGTGCTGAATAAAACCATCACCCCTGCTTACCCACACACACACACACACACACACACACACACACACACACAGAGCTATGTTGTGGTCTTCATGGGAACTGGCCTAGTAGAATCACAGTAAATTCCCTCCTACACACACATTTGAAAGAATTAGTGGTAATTCTGAATTAAGATCCAGTAGCTAAATGGACCATTATGGTCCAGATTAGATTTAGCAGTTCAACAACACAATTGCAAGTGCCCAGCTGGCGTACGCCAGATTTACAAATGCCCAGCTTTGTACAGCATCACGTACACACAGATTTATAGTCTCACCTCCTCCTCCCCACAAACAAAGCAAAACAAGCACCCAGGACCGAAGGACCGCTCCAGCCTATGGAGCAAAGCCCAGGTGCAGGTTTCCACAGGTATTATTTGTAACCTCAAATGAACTAAACATGCACATCTCTACTACAAACCCGGCCAGGGAAATCAGGTTTAGGAAGAGAAACACATTTCTAGAAGTCCACACGTGTTTGGTTTTTTTTTTTTTATTAGGACTGACACATTCATTGTATGTCACAACTTCCACGGATCAATGAGTTTTAGAAAAATCAAAATGCCAGCACCAGCCAGGCGGAGGATGGGGCTTATATAGTAACAGTTTTGAAAAGGCATTAAATGTTTACTCCCCCTCCATCCATAACCCCCCCCCCCCCCCCCCCCCCCCCCCCCCCCCAAAATTCTCACAGCTTTGATTGTATTGATAAGCATGGTTTGACAAAATGTTTCCCAGCTGTCAGGTTATTCTCACTGCCACAAAGAGGCTAACTAGAACTCAAAAAGGCCAGGAATTACTTTAATGGTAAAAAAAGAGCTGATATGACAACACTACTAGTAAAGTGGGATACATCACAGAAACAAAAAAGTCTTTGCAGGCAACACTGGTTGGAAATGGTAAAAACACTTGATGGGTGAAAAAAGTGAAACTCTAAATTATATACAATAGTAGCTAAGGGTGGCATTGAAAAATAGTCTCATTTAATGTGACCCAAGGTTTAACTTGCCATTATCTATTGCTTATTTATTCAGATCAGTAATAACACTTTATATAGAGACAGATGTGTAAAAATGAAACGTTGTGGAAAAAACAGCTTTTCATATGAAATGCAAAGTAGAAGCTCTGTCCAATGTGGAATGTACCTACAGTCATTTTTACAAGGCTCTCCTTCTTCTCGTTATAAAACCAATTGACCTGCCAAGCAAGTTAGCTGTATATTTTACTTGCTCAGGACAAGTTGTTTCGAATCATTTGCAAGCATCTTTCATTCTGAAGTTCATTTTCACTCTGAAAGTCTTACTTGCCCCTCTGTGAACAGACAGGATCCGTAAGCGTCTGCTAGCAACATGGAAAGGAGGCAGGAGCCCTAATCCTTATGAAGGACGAGATTCAGTTGTTAAACTTCAACGGGTATCCAATGGCTTTTTCCAGGCACTCTACCAAAGAGCCAGCAGAAAGAAAATCCCTCTCCACTTCCACAAATTTTATGTAGATGGATTTAGGTGACACCCCTGGTTCTACGATGCAGTTCTGAGATAAAAACCCATTGATTCCAACCCACTCTTTGCTGAAGGTTTTGGTGTTGGCCTGAAAATGTAAAAACAAACACTGCTGGAGAGTTCTAACCTCAGCAATGCCAAGGTAACAATAGATAATTCTGGCGGACTCCATCTCCACCCTGAGAGAGGCCTGCGGTGAAGGGACATCTACCTCCCCCTGAGTCTCTTTCCCAGGATCTGGGCCTCTGCGGTCTGCATGAGGCGAGTGGGGTTTCTCCTGGCAATCTTCATAACCAATGGCATACAGGCCAGGGCTTTTGGGAATCCCCCCTGGTAATAAATACTGAACAACATTTCCTCCTGTTGGCTTAGAGTGAGCTATAGGTATCCAGTCAACTTCCATATGCAGCTCCAGGCATCTTGCTTCACTAATAGTAATCTCTAGGAATTTATAGTAAACATTTTTCCAGTTCATTTTCTGTACTCGCGTCATGATGATCCTGCCCTCTGGCTTCTCCGAATTGAAATATTCCCTAAGCCGTTTGCCAAGAGGCACCTGGGAACTGATCTCAGCGTAGTGGTAGCGAATATCCTCCTTCCAGCGTGTGTTATAACCAATGCCAAAAATGGCTAGTTTGTTAGAAAGATGTAGCCTGGAGAAATCTGTCCAGCTCTGAAACAGCTCCCATTTTAATTGGACGGATTCCAAGATTTGCACAATGTTCTGCATGACGTCTTGCTTCCTAGAAAAAGCAACACAAATATAAACCATAAGATGGAGCTCAGCTCAGACTGGAGATTTTTTAAAAAAAGTTTTGCTGAAGTTTGAAAGAGCACATCAACTTTCAGAAAACATTAACCAAAGCAAGAGCAGCTATCTGAGAAACGGGTGGCCAACTGAGAAAAGGTGGCCACCAAAAATGTCATAGTTAGCCCTGATTTATAGAATTCATCATTAGCATTTAACGCTTTCAAAATGCTTTAGAAATGTCTTCAAGGGCTTTGTGAAGCAGATAAGAATGGGCATTTAGTTTCCTAAAATTCAGAAGTCTACAGGAACATTTAACCTAGACATATTACTCACAACATACACGTGTTCTAGAATACTCTTTCACCAGTTAAACACCTAACTCCCACTGAAATCTTCTTCTATAAGATCTGCTCTAGGATTGGTTGGGGATTGATCCTGCTTTGAGCAGGGGGTTGGACTAGATGACCTCCCGAGGTCCCTTCCAACCCTGGTATTCTATGAATTATTTGGGGAAGCTCTCTGGCCTGTGTCATGCAGGAGCTCAGACTAGATGATCATAATGGCCCCAGCTGGCCTTGGAATCTATGGGGGGGGGGGGGGGGGGAAATCAATAGGAGATAAGCATCTAAATACCTTTAAAAATGTAGCCCCATGACACATTATATACACATTCTGTGCAAAGAGGCCAAGTTAATGTTGCAGTATGAATGCTATTACTTTTGTATTTGTTTACTCTTAACACTGCAGTAAATTTTTATCATTTAATGTGTCTTCCCTTTCCCCCCAAAAACAAACCAAAAAAACACACAAGCCAACAAACAAAAAACCAAGATAGCAGAACCTTAGTGGGGTGGTTTTTTTTTTTGTTTTTTTTTGAGTCTCTGCTGACAAGCATAATTTTCAGCAACAGCTTAATGATATCAGTAGAGAAAAAAGTGCTTTTCCCTTATTTCAAGTTCCACTTTTGCACAAAACTTCACCACCCTTCCCCTCCCCCCCCCCCCCATCATATTCTCATGATGACAATGCAAATGGGCAGTGCAAGAACAAAACAGTTTAACTTTGCTGACTAACAGTGCTTTTGAGCAAACATTCCTCTGCTGCTATGGACCGGGAGTTACGCACTCAACACTACAATCTACTAAGATATTACTTAGTTGTGCATGCTCAACTATGTAATTTTAAACATTGTAAGCTTAAACATTAAGCTTTCCCGAAACTTGCAACGTCTTCACTGAGGTCCATAAGTACGGAATTGTGAAGTTTCAACAATTTGACTTCAGCTTATAAAAGCAAACAGAACTTTTTCTTAAATCAAAAGATTTTTTTCATGCTCCCAAAATTCAAAAAAGTGACAATGAATTTTGCACAAGTGTTCCAAAGAGCATTTACGTCTAGGCCAAGACTAAGCATGTGGGACATTTCAGTCAAAATTGAAAGCTTGAGAATATTCCAAATAACCAGAATTAAAAAAAGAAAAAAAAAAGTTCAAAAGCTCGTCTTACCATAAATACACTGCCTTTCCTATTATCTTAGGTTTACTTCTCAGTGATTATACTTTGATTTTTTTTTCTATTAATCATTTCTAAAAAGAACAAATGTCTTTCTACTTTTTCAACTCCCAATTGGTTTCCTGACTTTGAATGAACTAGTCATTGAACTGAACTAGATGAATAAACTGAAATGAAGAAAATATTCTCTCTGCCCTGCAGAAGAGGCTACCGCTTTGTCAAAAGCTGGTTTAACGCTTCAACAAACTCTCGTTCAGTGGTTTGACTTTTAGTACATATTTGCTACCAATTTTCAATTTTTTTTATTTAATGTAAATGATTTAAATACGAAATCTTCATTTCAGTTTATTCGACTAGTTCAATTCAATGACTACTTCATTCAGTTAAGAAACCAATTGGAACTTGTAAAAGCAGGATAGCTAGTTTTCCTCTTCCTCTCCCACACAAAAAACTTAGATGCGAGAAGACAAGCTCTACTAGTACTAAAAATCTTGAAAGATACAGTGACCAGAAGTAATCAGTTCATTTAGCTACAGATAACTCCTTTGTTTAATGTTAGTTTTAAATACAATTCATGTTTTTATAAACTTTCTTCTTATGTTTCCAGCACACTTAAGGTAATTTTAAATGCGGTTTCTGGTGGATTGATTTTGAATTTCCAAATAGTCTCTCACAAATCGCAAGTAAAAAAGTAATCTATTAAAGAAATGCATCATTCACCATCCTCTAAAATAATAAAAATTAACCATCTAAATCAATGTAAATTAAATTATATAATTGCTTAAATAAATGTGTATGTAGATATAGCGTGTCCTCCTGGTTAGTAAAAAGAAACACCAAATTTCTTTGTCGCGTAAAGACTATATTTAGTTGGAAATCATCATGTTTTAATAGTTAACCTTTCTGTAGAAAAACTACAAAATATAAATGCAAAACATGATTAAAATCAATGTTTCCTGTTTACTGATCAAAATCATGGTTACAATTGGTGATTTAAATCAATCTGATTAAAATCAATCCACCCTGTTAGCTAACTATGTCAAAGCAAATACCAATAAGAGAATTTGTACTTTTATAACTAATTAGCCAAGTCTATTTGCAAACATCTGCTGCAAGCATGAGCAGCTTCACACAGGATGGATGGGAAAGGCACTTATGGCACTATAGGCACTCTATTTGTCTCAGGAGTAAAGAACAAGCTAATAACATATCAGAGCCACAAGCAGGTATTACAGCTCTTTTGGTAATTGAGAAATCCGTCTCAGTCCGCTAAATCCCATTTGCAAAACACATGCCATTTTAACTCTTCTCATGCTTTCATCAACTGTAGTGAATTTGTATTTGGTCCCCTACAGTAGGGCACAAGCAGAAGAGAGAGTTTTGGATCTAGTGGCCATCTCCTTTCTCTGCCACCATGGGGAAATTCTCTTCTGAATCTTCAAACTTGCAGAGAATAAGTGCTCTTTTTGGAGGGCCCATGAGTACTCTCCCTTCTCCTAGAAAGCACGGAGTCTCTGCCCCACCTCCTATGGAGAACGGAGGCACTGCAGCAATGCATTCTGGTGTGCAGGCCTCGCACACGTGTCCCTTATTTACTACAGAGCTGGGGAAAAGGGGACCTCTTGGAAACAGGTGCAGAGAAAGGTGAGACAATAAGAAATGAAGGGGAGAAATGAAACAAAGTAGCATTAGAAGGGAAGGAGACCGAACAGAACAATGGAAGGAGAAAGCAAAGTCTGATAAGAAAAAACTTAGACCAACTGGCTAAGCAGCAGTTCTGCAGAAAAGGACCTGGGGATTACAGTGGACAAGAAGCTGGATATGAGTCAGCAGTGTGCCCTTGTTGTCAAGAAGACCAACGGCATAATGGGCTGTATTAGTAGGAGCATTGCCAGCAGATCGAGGGAAGTGATTATTCCCCTCTATTGGACACTGGTGAAGCTACACCTGGAGTATTGCATCCAGTTTTGGTCCCCCCACTACAGAAGGGATGTGGACAAATTGGAGAGAGTCCAGCGGAGGGCAACAAAAATGATTAGGGGGCTGGGGCACATGACTTACGAGGGGAGGCTGAGGGAACTGGGGTTATTTAGTCTGCAGAAGAGAAGAGTGAGGAGGGATTTGATAGCTGCCTTCAACTACCTGAAAGGAGGTTCAAAAGAGGATGGAGCTAGGCTGTTCTCAGTGGTGGCAGATGACAGAACAAGGAGCAATGGTCTCAAGTTGCAGTGGGGGAGGTGTAGGTTGGATATTAGGAAACACTATTTCACTAGGAGGATGGTGAAGCACTGGAATGGGTTACCTAGGGAGGTGGTGGAATCTCCATCCTTAGAGGTTTTTAAGGCCCAGCTTGACAAAGCCTTGGCTGGGATGATTTAGTTGGGATTGGTCCTGCTTTGATCAGGGGATTGGACTAGATGACCTCCTGAGATCTCTTCCAACCCTAATATTCTCCTGTGTCAGAGAGAAGCAGCACCAACTCTGGAAAAGCCAATCTGGTGCTGTGAAATGTCATGGAGAGGAATTAGCAAGGGAGAGGCTTGACAGGCCAGTGGCTAGAGCACTAGGCTACCCCCTAGCAGCTCTGGGTTCAATTCCCCCTTTGCTACAGCTTCCCTGTACCAGCTGGGGGGGTGGTGGAGGAGCTATGGTGAAATAAGACAGCCTCCGCTCCACATCTATAAAATGGGGGTAATAGTATTTCTCTATAAAGACACTGAAAATTGTGAGGCATCCAGTTACTACAATAGACAGAGTAAGGGGACATGGGGAGGAAACCTAAATCCTTGCCTTAGGCAGTCCTTTGGACATGCGTTATGCAATCGTACTTTTTCATTTTAAAAATATCTGAGAATTTAGACAACTCGCTAACCACTTGGTTTTGAATTTCAAACCCAGCGTGTACACCTAGTAACATGATCTGTACTCCGTCCTCACACAGGCCATCTCTGACTACCGACATTCCATATTGCATAGACTAACAGGACTAGGATGTGTTTTCTGGCTGCAGATCAACCATGTTTCTATAGCTGAAACTGGTATTTCAGCAGTGGAAAAGGGCTACACTGATGCTCAGGAGAGCTCTCAAAAGGAGAAGGCAGAGTCCCTGATCAATCATTTCCTCCGGCAATACATTTTAAAATGTGGCCATTTTCCACATTTGGCCACTAGTTATAAAAAAAACCCAGAAAACTCATTTATTTTGCAGATTCTTCCTCGTGTAGCCCCACAGATTTCAAGATTTAAAGAGCTACTGCTGCCTCCCTGAAAGCTTCATAAATATTCTGTTGAAAAAGGAAAATACCAGATCTGCAGACCATCCGTCCACCAAGGCAGCTGGCATGGAAATTCAGGGTTAGACTACAGCTGGCAGAAACCGCAGCAGAGCTCCAGTGAAATCAGTGGCGCCATGCCAATTAACACCAATTGCGGAGCTGGCCCAGGCTCTTTATTCTGAGTCTGGGCCAGCTCCACAATCATT